TGTGTGTGTGGGAGGGAGGGAGGGTTATCCTTTAGAGATCAGACATAACCCAATTCATTTTGCAGCTGGGCCTCACATCAATCTAAATAATTTGAATCCTGCATTAAACGAGCATAAACTGCAGTGACATTTGCAGCAGCTCTGATTCGCTGCATGTGCGTCGCAGCACGCTCGGGAATGCACGGTTTGCATGTTTGACATTCTGCGCTGAATTCCCTGTTGTACTCTGGGTAAAGCCCGGGCGCCCTCTGCCCCTCTGTCTCTCCTTCCACCAGTGGGATGTGAATAATGGAGTAATTACAGGAAGCAAGGCCGACCACTAAACATTTTCCTAACCAGAGGATCTGGGAGAGGGATTCTCCGTTTGGAGAGAGGGAAGAAAAAGGAAAAGAGAGAGCCAGCCCGGGAGAGGAGTCTGCCTCTAATTTTCAGTATCTGGATTAAAGATTAGCTTCTCCTCCAACAGTTTGTATTGTATCAGATTGATGGACTGTGGGTTTGTGTGTGCGTAGTTACAGTGTGATTGCATGCATATGGATGTCCCAAAAGCAAAAAAAAATGGTGGCAGAGAGGGAAGTCTTGTCTTACCAAGGTCACTTTAAAGTCCTGGGCTTTAAGATCCAGCATGCGCGGGTCTCTTACATCAAAGGGAATCATTAAATCTAAACACCACCACAGTGGTGGATGGAACCGCAGGAGGATGCCCTTGTTGAGACCTGATCCGGAGGAAATGTTGATTCATAAAAGAGTAAATGGTGATAATGATAAATGAGGTGGGGCACTGGCTGCATTGAACAGTAAGATTATCCACTTCTCATGGTGCTTAATGAGCGGGTATCTGCTGGGCAGTGCACTCAAATTATGTGGAATATTCAATCAACACAGACAGAAACATGCTTGTTGGCTTGCCTGGTTTCACGCAAAATAGATTCTCGTGCAGATACACACATAAACTTGCTCTAAATGCACATTTACTCAAGTACTGTACATATCCCTTCACAGTAAGGGCCGGGTCATTTTTGACTCAACCCAAGCTTCCCTTCAAAATGATACCAATTTTTTTTTATCCAAGCATTATATTTTGCACTCATAAATACCCCATTGGTAACTAATGCATGGGTGACTAATCCTTAATGAATGTCTGGCAGAAGAAAGCTAACAAACATATCATATTATAGTCTGCAGTTTATTGTACAAGGTCTAGCTGGCTAAGTTTTATATAATACCTTTGTGGAGGTCATACTGTGCAGCTGCAGCTGGACAACAATCTTAATTTTGGAAATGTGCAAAAACAAATTGTCAAATTTCCATATAAATTAATGTTATTGGGTTTTTACTGTAGGTCCAACTTTTCCCAAAAACTAGTACATTTCCGAGATACCTTTACTTGAGTATTTAAATGTTATGCTACTTTATAATGTATTATACATGAACTGCATTCAACGAGCCAACCACAGTCAAACAAACTCACTTGAGTTGCTCGCTCACTGAACTCTGGCTTTATAGCAGACTAGACCAGATTATTTTGACGTGTTTATCACTAAAGCAGCGGTTATATCTCATGAGGTGGAGTCCCTAAAAGCGTTTATCAGACAACCTGTTCCTCCTCAGAGTCAGCAGTGCCCAGGCTAAAGAGCCTCTCCACCATGTTGTATCCTCCTCATCGAAAGTAAAGAAGTCACAGTGATTCTAGAGCAAACTTGCATTAGCCGCCCATTATGCAGATAATTAAATTGATTCATTATATATAATGCATTTTTACATTGTGGTATTGTTATCATTAGTTAAGGGTACATTTTTGTTAAAGATGCAGCAGTGACATTACGCCATAAAATGGGTAAAATGCTAGCTAAAATTAGCACATGACAATATGGCAGCTGCCCACAGTCACAGCCACACTGTTCTGTTGCAGGGTCAGACTTTTATGAAAAGCTTTTTTTCAATTGGCCACTTTTGCCCTTACTTTACTGCTACTCTGACATGTACAACAAAAAATAAAATCATATATTTATTAACAAATCAGAATTTTAATTAAAACTTATATATATAATATATATATATATATTAATTGTTGTTTTTTTCTAAAAGGAGTATGAGTACTTCTGCTACTGCTCTAAAACACACACACACACACACACACAGAAATGTGTATGCTCCCATGCAAATATAAAGTAACACAGAAAATAAAGTCATTGCCAGCACAGAAAAAAGTGAAAATGTATTCCCTCTCTCTTTACCACACACACACACAAAGTGGTACTACTAAATGTTCTTGGCCCCCTGACCACAGCTCTCCCAGGGCCATAAGACGTTAAATTTCTATAATTCAGGGGCCTCTGTCCAGCTCTGCCTCCCCTGAATCTTTCACATACGCACACTGAGTGCTCTCTGACCCTGGCTGTGGTGTCCCGCAGGGCCAGGGGTCGGCCCTGGGTGTCCCTGTCGGTGTGGCTCCAGATGGTTCAGGAAACACCGGACTGCTCCCTCTGCGCTCCCCAACGACCCCTGAGGACCCCGAGGTGGCATTTCCCCTCCGATTAGAGCTAAAAATACAGTGGCTGCTCTGAGAGCCGCGGCCCCTGGGTGATCGTGATGGAGGGAGGAAGGAAGCAGCTTTTCCTGCCCTCCTCTCTCCTCGTAAGTCATTTGTCACCCCTCTCTCTCCTCCGTTCTCTCTCATTCTGTCTCTTATTTCCCCCATGATTTTTTTCTATGATGGAAAACTTTTCCGGGCAAGCAAAAAATCCATGAACCTCTCCCAGGACAGGAACACCCATGACAAGCTCTTTGAAACGAACAGTGCAACAAATGTCATTTGAACTGACAGTAAACAAGACTATAAAAGCAGGGTGGAGGGAGATGGGGGCAGCTGCTTTAACCTCTGGATCGGACTTCAGCTAATGTGCTATTAATGCCCAGACACACTCATATAAACACAAACATTAGCAAGTTCATTGCCCGGTCCAAAAGAGAGAAAAAAGTTGGCTCGCACCAGCAACAGGCTAATCATCCGCTACGCTGAGTAAATACTGAGTTTGTGGTCCTGAATTAAAAGATTTCCCTCCTCAAACAGGATGGCACAACGGAGCCACGTGACACAGCTTACAGGGAGAAACCAAAACCTGTAGTAGGTAAGTAAAACATGATTAAAACGGAAAATTAGCCGTAATTACTTGTGCATAATTTTGGGGAAAGCATTTATTTGGCCTAAATGAGAAAAACATCCTCTTGTACGGTATAAAAGATTACTCCCATGATTGGATTATTTGTGTATATAAAAATACAGCACTTTTGGACAGCAATGTTGGCTCTTTAGTTTGAATAAATGTTTGCAAATCTTATTTCCTGAAATACATTCAGTGTTGAAAGAACGATTTTAAAATAACAGACAATCTTTTATTGAGTCAATTTATCTCACTGGTGCACACACTCAAGTCCTCTCATAAAGAAAGACCTCTGCCATGAAATATTAATGGACATTTTAGTAATTCTGTTGACTGTGAGCTTTATTCTGAAGCCATGCACGCAAGAGCTGTTGAAGTATGTGAAATGAGGGATTAGCAGCCTGATTTGATTTGACATGTTTACAATAGAGCAGGTGCCTAAAATGATGATTCTGTGATTGATTCAGCAGCCACGCCCATTCCAAAGTAGCAACTTTGATCCACCTTTTCCAAACTGTCAGGAAGTTGAGCTCTTTGAACTGCCTGGCACATGGGAATAATGAAGGCGAGGATGTCACCCAATCAGGAGAGCGCTGTTTTTTATTGTCTAATACTTTAGTAATAGTGAAAAACTTTATTTATACATCTTTCACCTTTCTAAACAGAGTTTCAAAGTGTTTAAGTTTAAGTTTACGGGTGAAAATCAAGATTAAATAAACCTGGCAGAATACTGAAATAAATTCAAACAAATAGAAACATGGCAGCTCAACATGGCGGACTCCATTAAAGAAACCTGCATTTATTAAGAATGCATATTTATACTGTCGACTCCTATCGCAAAACTGTCCTCAAACCATTCCTATTTATTGAGCACTTAATACAGAGGAGGACTAAATAAAACTGGAGTGTTCAACATGTCTAAAAACCTACAACACCTTGCTTTATTATGGACTTTTAGGCTCTCTGTTCCCTCAGTGGTCAGCACTGTCAGACAGCTTGCTATTGCTTGCATATTGGCAGAGCAAATTTGCATGTCAAAGTTTAGCAAACTTCAACTGGACTCAACTTCTCCCTGTGAGAAAATCCAGGTCTTTAGTTGTGAGCTCAGGAGGAGCCAGAAGAGCCTTGCCTGAGGAGCCAGCTCATGAAATACTTTACAGTAAACACAATCTTAAAATCAACTGTAAAACTGACTGGTAGCCAGTGAAGAAACTGTATACCAGTAGACAACCTAGGCTGGGAGAGCGGAATAGAGAAAAATGTGGATTACAATAAGGTGTGCCATTTCACCACCATGGACAGTGCCATGGGTTTATCATTAAAAAGCGACCTGCTGATATTTAAGACTTAATTCCAACTTCTGATAGGCTGTTTCAGAACCATGATCAGATAATGGATGAAAAAAGACAAGATTGACTAAACCAACGTGCATTCAGTAATCACATAAACAACCCACACATGAGAACAAATGAGGCAACAAGTCTGCAAGCAATGTGTGGACTGCCATTACTACAATAACCAGCAGACACTGCAGTCTACAGCACCAGCAACCACAAACATTATGTAATAAAAAGGCCAGACAGTCAGCATCTATAAGCGCCTGTCATCACGAATAATGGATATGAAGCAGTCAGTCT